CCTCTACTGCTGCAACAACGCAGTATAAGGGGGCGGGACTTATCTCTGAGGACCACCTGAGGAGCAGGACATTCTGCAGCAGGTTCTATCAGCTGGACCCACAGAGCTGAGAGCAGAACCCATTTCCTCACCCAACCAGAACCACAGACTTTCGGCTCCGTGGACCAATCATGAAGCAGAACCGGAGCTTAAACACAAACAGAACCAAACAGCGCCGCCTTCCAGCTCCAAAGCTTCCCATGTTTGTTTTTCCTTCCTCTGTTTATTTGGAGAAGGAAGCTCTTCCGAAGCGGACCCTGGCTCCAGTCCCACCGTTTCCCAGTTTACACACCAGTACATTTAAACACAAACACTCTAGAGGCCCGACTCTGGCAGAGCAGTTCAGCCGAAGAGCAGCTTCCAGACCGCTGCATCTCTCCGATTGGTTGAATGAATGAATTCATGTTCTCACTCAGGTTCTGATCCAGACCCGGTTCCTTCCTGCTTCAGCCTCAGCAGCACCGCCGTCCCTGAGAGAAGCTGCTGCTGCATTTTTACAGAAAACAACAACAAATCGGACCTGGACTCGTCAGCCTGAGGTTACGGGGGGTTAGGGATGATTTCTCTGTTGCCACAGCAACTGCCAATCGTCTCTAATCTAATTAGAGCCAATCAAAACAAAAACACCAGCTGCTCCTCATGGGAGGAAGAGCCGGGGGAGGGGGGGCATCACTGGGCCCAGGTGTGCAGCTTCATGCAGTCAGAACCGGTTTAGATCCGCTGCTCAGCGGGTCTGGATCAGAACCGCGGTAAAGAGGTGACCTCTGGTTAATTAACTCCTTAACGAGCCTCATCTGGTGGACCAATCAATGATCAAAGCTCGTCCACAGACTACCTCCCAGGCTTTCTATTGGCCGAGGCACCCCCGCCTCCACCTGAGCTAAAGTTTTCACTCCCTCTCCTCGTTTCATCGCTGGTTAAACTGTGACCCGACCTTTGTGAGGAAGACCAACGCAGGTTCCTCTGAAAATCTGAAAAGTGCGTCTCGCTGTCATTAGAACCATCTATGACCGGAGGACACGTTAAGGCGGATGTCATGTGGTCCATGTGAGCAGAACACCTTCAACCTCATGTCTGCTGCTTATAACTAGTGCTGGACCGGATTCCTCGTTCAGCTAATTAGCATTTTCTTTATTCTTTGTAGGCCGTCAGCTAACGTTTAGCTTCTGCTCAGCAGTTAGCGATCTACCTGCTCACAATGTATTGTCTAAAAACCCCGTCGGACGCAGCCCCGCAGCCAGATGGTGCTACTCAGACTCGTCTATCAGGAAGCCAAATGCCAAATTTTCTCCCGACCTTAAGTTGGCCCCCCCACCTACTTCAAATCAGACAAAATTAGTATCAAACGTTTGTGCTACGTTTGTGCAGCAAAAATTTTCGTTTGTGCCGCTATCGTTTTAAAGATATAAAGAAATATTTCTAGGGGTCATCAAAGGTCAAACAGCCCCCCCACCTTCTTCAAATCAGACCAAATGAGTGTCAATTAACTCAGCTGCGTTTGTGCTGGTTTGGCTTTGAAGATATTAATGAAAATGTAAAGGTCAAAAGGTCAACCAGCCCCCCCACCTTCTTCAAATTAGACAAAATTGGTGTCAAACGTTTGTGCAGCAAAAATTTTCTGTTAGTGCCGCTTTCATTTTCAAGATAGAACGAGATGTTTCTAGAGGTCATCAAAGGTCAACCCCCCCCCCCAAACCCCCCCACACACACTTTCTTCAAATCTTCAAATCCAAAGGAGCACAAACGAAAATTTTTGCTGCCCAAACAGAGATGAGTTAATTGACACCTATTTCGTCTGATTTGAATAAGGTGGGGGGGGGCTGGTTGACCTTTGATGACATCTAGAAATATTTCTTTATATCTTTAAAACGATAGCGGCACAAACGAAAGTTTTTGCTGCACAAACGTTTGACACTAATTTTGTCTGATTTGAAAAAGGTGGGGGGGCCAACTTCACTCAGGTTAAACTTCCTGATTGGATCTCTTTAACCCCTCAACACAGGACCCACGATCAAGCTGAAAGTCGGCCCGATCAAAAAATTGTCGCAAAACTGAAGAATCGGACGGAAAAGGCCAAAAGAATTAGGGATGCAGGATATTGGGATTTTGGCCGATATCCGATATTTTAAAACTCATGTAGCGGATAACCGATATCGATACCGATGTTAAAGCTGGACAAAAATAAGTAGTCATTGAAAATAGCAGTTTAGTTATCCATTTCTGACACTTTGAAAAATAATA